ATATCAGAGGGCCTCAAGTTTTTTTACCTTCGTCTAAGTTTATGAATTTAACCTCAATTTCAGTCATTTCCTTACTAAAAAAATGTTCTCGGTTCTCCACGTAATGTCTCATTCCTAGAACAGACCTACTCAGGTTGTGCTCTTGACTAAACCCCTTATTTGGCTAACCAGTTAATTGCTGCTTTTACGTTCCTTTTAGTCGATCATCTGTGTTGTTTGACACTTTATACCGTAATTAAATAGCTTTGAACTACTCGCCTGATTTGTTGAATTATTAGTGAGCCTTCGAATGTGATCTTAAATGCTCCATCCAGGAGGGTCTACTGTAATGGCAAGTCCAATGCTCCAACAAATACTCAAGGCTCATTTTAGCTGCGGAAAGGGCTACGCACTTCGCTATGCCACGAAAGGTGGGCTTCAAAATTGAAGAGTTTCTCTCATGACATACCTAAAGTAGTTCCTTCGCAATGAGGTGACCCGCCAGTTGTCTAAATCAAATCTTACTTTAAAAACAAGTCCACAAAAGGTGATTGTGCTTGTAGATAAGAAGAAAATTTAAACTGCAAAAACAATTGGCTAAGCATGTTGAAGTTGTGATGTTTTTACAAACAGTTAGCGGAATAAAAAGCCTCAAAACACTTAGTTATAGCCATTTAAACCTGAAGAGGTTGTAGTTTAATCAGGTGATTGTACCTAAACGTGGGAATTTTCATCACGACTTCTTCACATTTGGAAGAATTGTTAGTCGTTACGACATTGGTAGCTTTAGGCCAGTGCTGACGATGACGGTTGTAAACAACTTTGACGTGCACGTGTCACAGGTGAACCTAATGACTAGCCTGTCTTTGTGTAAGTGGGAAGGCCTTTTTTAACATCGAATGACACCACAGTCAGTAAGTGAGACTAAGTGGTGTGTATTTGGCACTTCGGGGATTTGGCGAAACAGTTACCGTGATAAAAAAAAATTGGAAAAGGCGAAAAGGACTGAGCACAGATTATTTCACAGGCCCCTCATGTCGGGAACAAGGAATAAGAGATAAATGTGGTCCTTATAGCGAAAGTGGATGAACATGTTAACTTCGTGGGCAACCGCACAGCCTATAGCAGAGATGGAGATCACGACCTCCCAATGCTTCCTATACCTCATTTCCATATGCTCCTTAAGGTAGCCTGCCAGATCTTTTTCCGCACCGTGTGGTCCAGAATACTCTTTTACTAGGCGCACACATGTTTCAAGGACATCGTCAGATGCAGCATTGCCAGGCAAGACTTCGACACCATCTAGTGTAGACTTCTCTAAGCTCGATGCTGACGATGGCATTGGTGGAGCAGCAAATAATGCGGGCGTTTCAACTGTCTCTTGAATTAAGCCCTCCGACCTGACATTGTTTTGTTCAGCTTTCCGTCTGAAAAGTAACAAATGAAGGTTACCAAGATAGGCAATTTTAGATTGATAATATAAGAAAAAAATGTTGAGCTGACTTTAGTGTGTGCTACCATAATGAAGCGCACCATCTGAAGTGTAATGACACTCCTTATTGTCAGCATGTCTGTTAGCTTGGTGGGCTCACCTACCTGTACTCCAAGGGAAGTGGTATGTCAAGGGTTGCGCAGACATCCTCAATCGTTATTATGCCCTTGTCTCCCTCTTCAAACCACTGGAACCATCTCTGAAAGGAGTAAAAAGGGTGGATGAATGAAGTAATGCTAAGTTGTTTATTCCAGCGGTACGCATACTTAAGATTTGACGTCTGCAGAAGTACCTACGAAACACTCCATGAGGGGCGACAAGGGTGTGGAATATTTAACGAAAAAGGGCAAAACTGTGACAAACTAACCAACGGCG